ACACACACACACACACACACACACACACATACACCATCAAGTTATAACTTAAGAATGAATGATTGTTTGATCAAACACACTACTCTCAACTCAATCACTTGATTGATAAACTTGGGTGTGTGTGAGGGGGTTGTGTTGATTGTGTGTGTTTATGTGTTTGATTGATCAATCAACTGATTTATTTATTGATTGATTGATTGATACATGTATCAAGCCAGTGACAATGGATGTGTTTATTTTATAAAATGTACTTATAAGGCTATGACTATCAGGGTGAATGTTCGTTGATGTCAAGGCGCTCGCTTATGTGTGTGAGTGTGTGTGGTCACTCCAATGATTGACAGTCAGCCAGGCTTCCTTCCTTCTTACTTAAATTACTCAATGACCATCGATCAATCCAACTAACCAATCCCCCTTTAATTCAACCGACGCTGACTTCCTTTTAGATTTGAGTCGATTATTTGATTGATTGATTGATTGATTATTTATTTAATATTATTTGTTTGGATGATTGTTTGATTTTCTTCCAAGATTTATTAAAAAAACAATTTTGAAGCCAAACTTAGATTGATGAAAAACGATCGGCTGAGATCCTGATCAGTGCCCCTGACAAAAACACTCTTTCATACTTTGATCATACTTATTAAACTTCAAATACATCGTACATACATACATACACATAATCAATCAATCAATCAAACAAACAAAACAATCACATAACAATGCAACAACAACAACCAAGAAAGAAGACATCGATCATTCAATCACCAATTAGACTACTTGAGACATTGTCAACGGTTAGTCAGGATCAGGGCAACACACCAAGACCATCCAGGAGCATTCTGTTGTTCATCGGTGGCATGCAGGCACTGAGTAAGGGCGACACATCAAAGACGACTGAGGACAAGCTCAGCAAGGCATTGGAGGAGGCAGAGAAGAGCAATGAGAACGAAGAGCTGGCATCGGCCCTGCTCGGCATTGGCTACCTCTACTCATTCGACAGCGACCAGCCCGCCCAAGTGCTGCGCGCCATCCAATCATACAAGCGCTCATTGGATCTGTGGAAGCTGGTGCACTCGGCCACCTCACCCAAGCTCATCGGGCTCCTCGGCGACCTTGCCGCATTGCAACAACATCAACAACAAAAGGCAGAGGCACTTGCCTCCCTCAACGAATGTCTAGTCATCTACAAATCACAAGGACTTGACAAACCAACCAACAACGACTTTGTCGGACTACAAGACCTAATCAACAAGCTTCAATAATATAATATAATATAATAATATAAATAGTTGATATCAATGTTGTACTTCCAAATTATCAATAATCGCATCATTTTCAATCAATCTTAATATTATTATTATTATTCAATTGAATTAATTAAATATTATGTGCATGACAATGAATGAATAATGAATGAGTGAATGAATGGATGAATGGTCCATCCCTCAACAAACACTCACTCTTTGCTCTTCACCTCCTCATTAGTTGTTTTCAATTTAATTTTAATTTTTTCAAATTATCACACCTTTTTGAGTGAGAGACCGAAGCTAATGCTTGAGATGAAGTGAGACATTCATTCATTTCATTCATCATTCTTGTTGCAACAACTCAACTAATAATATATATATATCTATCTATCTGTATACTCATATACCTACTCTATTCATATCATCCTACTACTACATACTCACATTAGAAAGGAAGGAAGTTCAGGTCTAGTCTAGTCTGGTATGTCTCACTCATTCACTCACTCAATCATTCAAACATACCAACTCATTCAATCAATCAATACTGACTTACGTAGTTCATATCATATCATATTATAATAGAGTATCAAAGCATAGAATAGGAAGAGATGTCAAGCGGAGATGAACATGAAGATGATGGTCGTGATGATGATGTGTTTGATGATAATGATGATGATGAGGATTATGTAGGAGATGATGATGATGAGGAAGAGGAGGAACAGGAGGAAGTTCGTGGACGTGGTCGTGGATCTTCTTCATCTTCATCCTCAAGCAAGAAGAGAAAGAATGAGAAAGGTGGCTCATCAGGCAAGAAGGGCAAGAAGCCAAGAGCGTCATCATTCTTCGAAGATGAGGCCGATGAAGCAGAGGACGACGAATCGGAGGAAGAGGAAGATGAGGCCGAGGATGGATACGCAAGACACGCACGTGATATCGAGAGCTCCAACAGGAGCACATTCAGGAGTCTCCAGCGCGAACAAAAGACCGACGAGCAGATTGAAGAGGAGCTGAAGCGTCGCGCAGAGGAGTATGATCTGCGCGCTCAACAACAGGACGACTATGATGACGAAGAGTTTGAGGACACGTCAGGCCTGCCCAACCAGAGCTATTGGAGAGTCAGATGCAAGCTGGGCGAGGAGAGAAACGTCGTGGCCGATCTGATGCAAAAGTATCTGAACCTGCAGCAGGGCCCACCCAACGAGCGCATCCTGATCAAGTCGGTGCTGGCGCCCCACCACCTGCCCGGCCAGGTCTACATAGAGGCCGAGCGCGAGCTGCACGTCAAACAGGCCATCCGAGGCATTGCCTCGATCATGTACTCGGGCATGATGCTGATCCCCCTCAAGGACATGATTGAGATCCTCTCCACCAACAGGAAGAGCACAGTGCTGCCCCGTGGCACGTGGGTGCGCTGCCGTCTGGGCAAGTTCAAGGACGACATTGGCCAGGTGGTCGAGTATGATGCCGAGCGTGGTCGCTGCGTGATCAAGCTGATGCCCCGTATCGACCCGAGTGGACCATCGCACGATGACGGCGAGAAGGCGCTCAAGAAGAACGTGCGCCACCCCCAGCGTTTCTTCAACGACAAGGACCTCTCGGGCAAGGGCTACGAGATCACCAAGAAGAAGGACGCACACAACGAGGTCTACTACATATTGGACAATGAGAAGTACAAGAACGGCTTCCTCTTCAAGCAGATGCGAATCACCAGCATTGTGAGCGACGGTGTCGTGCCCTCGCTCGAGGAACTTCAGCGATTCCAGGACCGCAACGACTACTACGACGAGGAGAACGAAAACGAAGCCGAGAGCGACTTCAAGAACATGAACATTGTCGACGCGCAGTCCATCCCCAAGGTGGCAGCGCGCCCCATCAGCTTCAGCAAGGGAGACACGGTCAAGGTCATCGAGGGAGACCTGAAGCACCTCATGGGTGTGGTGGAGTCTGTCGACGACCGATCCGTGTCTATCATGCCCCTGCACGACTCGTTGCGCGAGGTGCTCATCTTCCAGCCATCCGAACTGCAAAAGTACTTCAAGATTGGTGACCATGTCAAGGTCATTGCCGGACGATACGAGGGCGAGACAGGACTGGTGCTGCGAATCGAGGAGGCTGCTGCCGTCCTCCTGTCCGACCTCACAATCTCAGAGATCAAAGTCCGACCCCAAGATCTCCAAGAGTGCACAGAGATCTCAACTGGCAAGCTCGAGCTTGGCAACTATGAACTATATGATCTTGTACAGATTACGTATGTTATCACCAGCAACCATTGATTGATTGATCGACACTAACATCCATCCATCCATTATCACGGTTGATCAACCAATCTAGTCCACAAAAGGTTGGAATTATAATTAAAGTAGAGAGAGACTCATTCAAGATAATGGACGAGAACTCCAATGTAACATCAGTTAAACTACAGGAAATAGGCAACAAGAGGAGGACAAAGAACGCCTCCACACTGGACACCAATCACAACACTGTCAGCTCAAACGATGTGGTCGAGATCGTTGATGGTCAATATAGAGTGAGTAGAGATATGGTTGGACATGGCTGGAATGATCCCAGACACTAACTAACATCATCCAACCCAATCAATCCATTCAATTTGACAGAGCAAACAAGGAGTCATATTACATATATCAAGAAACTTCTTGTTCTTGAAGAGCAAGGATGTGTTTGAGAATGGAGGAGTGATTGTGGTGCGAGCAAACTATTGCAGTCTGCTTGGTGGATCAAAGAACAAGATTACTCAGTCGTTCCAGGCACCGATGAACCCTGGTGGAGGAGGCCGTGGCGGCGGCGGCAGATTTGGCGGCCCATCAAGCAATGGAAGTGGCGGCGGAGGCGGTGGAGGCTTTGGAGGCGGCGGCCGCGGTGGCCAAGGCGGAGGCAGTGGCGGCCCGGGCAGAGGCAGAGGACGCGAGAACTCCCCACTGCACAAGACGGTCACGATCAAGACGGGCAGCTGGAAGGGCTACGTGGGCATCGTCAAGGAGTGTACAGATACGATGGTGCAGGTGGAGCTGCAGACAAACTCCAGACGAATCAATGTACAGAGAAACAATATACTGTTGCCAGGAGAGCGACCCAGCCAACAGACGCAGCAGCACGACTCGTGGGACTCGCAGCTGTACATGGCCAGCAGGACGCCGATGCGCGAGGAGAACCCTTCAATGACACCAATGCGCATGAACACCCCGGCGCGTCGCGACAACGATATGTGGGCGCCACCCAGCCGCTACGACGACGAGTCTGCGCCAACACCCACCGACTACTACAGCACGACACCGGGCACCAACTACATTCCCTACTCACCATTCACACCCAACACCGAGTCGCACCGCAACGACAACTACACACCGATCAGTCTGCAGACGCCCTCATACGACACGCCCACGCCATCGTACAACAACTACGAGCAGCCGACGCCGCAGGCCGACGTTCCCGCCTCGCCCTTCACCCCGCATGCGCCACAGACGCCGGCCACGCCGTCGACACCCGCCATGGACGAGCAAGAGGAGGAGCTCGACGGCACTCCGTGGCGCGGAACCAACATCGAGGTGGTGTTCAAAGAGGGCACCAACCATGGAGGCGCCAAGGGTGTCGTCCTCGAGTGCAACAACAATGGCATCGTCAGCGTCGAGCTGCCGAGTGGATCGCGCGTCAACAACGTCTCACAGGACGCTCTGGACCTGGTGGTGCCTGCCAAGAAGGACCGTGTTCTCATCATCAAGGGACAGTACCAAGGCTACACCGGACAACTGTTTGTCATCTCACAGGGATCAAATACCAGAGACTCTGGCATTGTCAAGATGGACTCCAATCTGGACTTCAAGGTCATCAAGATGACCTATTTGGGCAAACTCACAGGCAACTAATCATCCAAGCCATCCATTGATCTCCGGGAGATGGTACATTCAATATACATAAACTTTGGTTCAAAATAAGGCAACAGTCTGTCAACTACCAATTGATTCTGATTAATTGATTGATTGTTAAAGTTCCCACCCAGACAAATCTCTAAGTGGACATTTCTGTTCTGCTTCAATCTCTACCGTACTTTATTTGTCCATTAAAGTCAATAGATGATCGAATAGAAGATAAAATTTTTCAATTATTTTACCTGTGTATTTTTTCTTTTGTAAAGTATCAAATTTTAAATTCTTTTCTGATGGGTTTACAATTTTTTTGGAGGTTGATAATATTTTCCTAAGTTTGGTATAGAATAATTGGTAGTTCTCTATTTCATCTAGATAAAGATTGCCCTGGTTGAACCTGTCCGTTTTTGAAACCAGAAGTGTATCATTATATTCCTGGAATTCCATACTCTCTAGAGTTGTCAACAACTCTTGATTGGTATAGTCTTCCTTATGAATTGTGGAAAATAATTGTACAGGAATGAGGCAAGAAGCTACATCCAAAATAACAACTAAAAGTATAATATTAGCAATAAATATTTTCATTATTATAATTATTATTATCTTTTTATCTAATTAATAGTAGGAAATAGAATTAATATATTATTATAATTATATTGATTCAACTATTTATATATTTCCATCAATAAAAAATATGGAGATTTTTATTATTGATCAATCATCAAACCTTCACACACATATTGTAAGAAGAGTACATCCTCTAATACGATCCACTACAATTTACAACTAAGATTGTGATATAAATTCCAGATGACTGTAGTTGGCTTTGAGGAGTGATTCCTTTGTATTGGAAGTGTGAACACAGAACAGTAGTAAAATGGATAAACGACTATTCACTCGCTTGAAAACTTATCTTTAGACAACCATTCGATTCAGTTTACATTCTCAAGGATATAGGGATAATTCCTTCCATTATGATATGATCTGCAAGATCATATATTTCTTAAATTGTTTTATTTGTAATACAATAGAATTGAATCAGAATAGGTGGAAATGTCAGGGTAAACAATGACAAGTAAGTAAATATAACGATAATGCCAAGATCGACAAGAAGAAGGTCAAGACACCAATTCTTGAAAATGCACAATAGTCTTAAGGAGAAGACGGATCAATGGTGCAAGTCCTTAGTCGCTACCAAGTTCCCAGATGAAAAGAAGAAGTTGACGGGCGAACGGGTTGAAGTATAGGAGAGCTGAGGCATGTGTGATGTATAATATTATACTATACTATTATTATATTATATATTATACATAACAATCATAGTGTTTGTCACTCTCATCAATGAATGACTAAAAATGAAAGAGTGATTGATTCTCTTTTTGTTTGAATGAATGAGTTATTACAAACCCATAACATATATTACAACTACTTGATGGATATAGACGAGCAACAACAACAGCAACAGCAACAGCAACAGCAACAACAACAACAACATAACAATCATGGTCACGACGATGATGTTATGAAGGGTCATGAGAATCATGAGGAGCTGCATGCCTCTATTCTCATGGTTATTGTCATTCTCACATTGGTGTCACAGATTGCATTGGTGTTGTGGAAGTCTAGATCACCTCGCACCTTCTTGCGTGTGTCAATGGGTGGTCTGTGGCTCTTCCCCTTGATCTACTCTATCTACAATGGTTTCATTCGAATGATCCTCGTCTGGTCGCTGTTCAGTGCCGTGATTGTCTCACTGTACCGTCTGTCGACACGTCAACCACTGGGAAGGAACACGCCCAAGATCGTCTACATGTGGTTCTACTTCATATATATAATGGCCTATCTGGTCACCTTCATTGGCTACCTAGGCATGATGGCATCAATGCTAGACCTCCCCTTGCCAATTCTCAAAGACAGCTACGACGTAGCCATCTTCTACGGGCTATACTTTGGTCTCCTGGGTCGAGACTTTGCCGAACTCTGCTCCGATCGAATTGCATCAATACTTGGTGTAAGTTGTTATTGATTATGTTGTTGACGTGGCTTGCGACTAACTAAGATTCCAAACATCAACTCATATGAATATGTAGATTGGAGGATCACGACTACCTGTTACCAAGGTATCAAGTAACTATTGTGCGATATGCACTGGTAACCTGGACAATCAATCACATTACTCAATGGTATCTACTGCTTCACTGGCAGATGATGACAAACAATTATCAAGTAGTACCGGTGGCAGATTGGATAAGATTATGAATATCTTTTATAGTAAGAGGAGTTGCAAGCTCTCATGTGGTCATGTGTAAGTATTGTGATCCTGTCACATTGTGTGTCATCATTGTAATGCTTACCATCCATCATTTTCCATTTAGTTATCATCTTTGGTGTATCCGTGGATGGGCACTGGTTGGAAAGAACAACATGTGTCCAACATGCAGTGAGAAAGGTATGTTGAAATAATGATGATGATGATGATGTTGTTGTCCATATGTGAATCCAATCAAGTCCTAATCAATCCTATATTTGTCAATTAACAACACAGTGGATATCAAGACATTCTGTGACAATCCATGGGAAAAGAACTCACAACTATGGGGATTCCTTCTTGATATACTTCGATATGGTGTCGTTTGGAATCCAATAATTATCGTTGCCTCACAGCTGATAATTTATATATTTGACAAATAATAATAAAATAAAAATCTTCGAGAAAAAAAAATAGCCAATATTATACCCTCAAAAACATGGTAATAACTAAACAATTAATATGGGCTCTATAGCACAGATGGCAGTGCGCAGGTCTTGTAAACCTGAGGTCCGGAGTTCGATTCTCCGTGGAGCCAAAATTAGTTTTGATTTTTGATCAACTTTTTTTAGTGGCCTCAAAAAAAATATTCGAAAAAGGCTCAAAAACAGTCAGGATGGTGTAGTCGGTTATCACATGACCTTCACACGGTTAGGGTCACGGGTTCGATTCCCGTTCTTGATAAATACTTTTATTTTGGATAAGTTTTTTTTCCCTTCTCCTCCCCATTGTCAACAGTCTGGTGAGGTTATCGATCTTCTTGATCTGCGAGAGTCTGCTGCGGAGCTGTGGTAAATTGGCTCGTCAGTTAAGTTAATGTAACATGAGGAACTTCCAGAGTCGAATGATTCGTTTTCCAAAGTGTTTTGATGTCGCTTCGCGCACTCAATCACTTCATTCGTTCATTCATAGACAGTGGGTCTTCAATTAATAACTGTCATACTCTCAAGGTATGTCCTCTTGTTACACCAATCAATCATCATATATATAAATAAATAAGTTTATATGATTCGTTCATTCATAGACAGTGGGTCTTCAATTACTAACTGTCATACTCTCAAGTGAACGTTCAATAATATTAAGAGTACATCTCTTTATATTAAATTAAATCATGAATTAAAAAAGAATTAAAGGAAATAAAAGGTTCTGCCTTTTGCCGGGATCGAACCAGCGACCTTAAGATCTTCAGTCTTACGCTACTACCAACTGAGCTAAAAAGGCGATACACAGAAAGACAATAAATTCTGCTTTTGAGCTGGAATTTTTTTGGTTTTTTTTTTGAAGTATTTGTTTATTTCGTATCTTTGCTTGCTACTTCATGTAGATTTCCATGCTTGTCCAGCCTCTTAATGATAAAGTCCTCTGTCTTTGGAACAGGCTCCAATATCGTAGGATCCAATTGGCTTTCCGCTGTTTTTTGTTGTTGAGGTGATGGCGTTGGTTTTGTTGTTGAAGTTGTTGTTGTTGTTGATGTCTTCGAAGTCATTGTGTCCAACTTGATATTGATACTACTGTCACCTATCTCACTGAGATGCTTCTTGGCACTGCCTCGAGGCAATGGTTTTGGCTGTGAGTGATGTGGCGCCCATCCAATCAAATATATTACCTGGAACGTCGCTGGAACTGTTCCATCATCATTGCCGTACAGTCCTTGATAAATTGCCGATGCACCCAAGAACGAGTCCTTACCGGCGGCCACTCGACTCTTGTACGTTGCGTTGTTCTCGCCCATTAACTGCAGATCCTTCATCAGAACGAACATGTTGCTGTAGCGAATGACCAACTTCTCCGTATCCACTGTGGGCAGAGTAAACCTTGCCTTGGACAACAAGTTGCCCACGTCACTCAGCTTTGCGAATGGAGATATATGTGGAGTGAACCCTCCACATCGTTCAATGTCACTCAAGTACAATGAGTCCCTTTTGTTTGGTGAATGATTGATTGATTGAGTCAGTAAGTCATGACTGGACGATCGATCAGGATCGCACCATACATACTTTAGTTCGGTCAATGTTTCCTCACCGAGGAGACTTGCTAGGAATACACCATTTGGCTTGAGTAACTGTCGGAGATGAGCAAACACACCTGGCAAGTCATTGATCCAGTGCAGAGAGAGGTTGGACAAAATGAGATCAAATTGCTCATTCTCGAATGGAAGTCGGTCCTCCATATTGTCCACTACTATCCTCTTTGGTTTAACTAGTCTTGGTGTTAGTCCACTCATTCGACAAATGATCATCCATTCAAATCATACTTTTGTAATTGACATCCAATGATTCGTCACGATATAGCATCTCTTTTGAAGAGTCCAACATGTAGTATTCAATCTGATCGTTGTTGTTGTTATCATTGTCTGGTACTAGGTCATTGAGTTGTTTGAGTAGGGCACCATTGCGAGAACCAAAGTCAAGCACTTTGTTCATCTTTATATTCTTGACGTCGAATATCCTGTCGGCCAGTCGACTTGCCACCTCATCAAACAAATAATCACTTGAAGCTGCATTATCACGTGTCGCTGCAAATGATCTCTGTCTACTCTTTAACTGTTGATTGAATATATTGACCTTCTCTATCACTCCTGCACCTGATCCTCCAGTTCCTTTCGATGGCTGAGTCTGAGTCTGAGTCTGTGGCTGAGTATTGTTTGAATCACTTGAATAACATCTCAAGATATGACTTATGCTTGTAGTATACCTATTGATACTACTTATATATATACAACTATTATGTAATGATCTTAGTCTATTCATATCTATGTTTGATCTTGATGCATCTTCAGAATGAATGAATGAGCGAAAGGAGAAGAATGAACAAACTTCCCAAAACAACACATTCTTCGTCTTTTCAAACAAACAAACTGATACAATACAGATACAGATACAGAATGACATCTACTACATCGACTACTTCTACTACATCGACTGCAGCAGTGGCAGAGGCACCTGTGTCGAGCAATGAAGATGTTGGTCAACTTAGAATATTAGAGTTCTTTAGTGGAATGGGTGGAATGTACTACTCTGCACAGCTATCAGGTGTACCATTCAAAGTTGTACAATCATTCGATATCAATACCAATGCCAATCAAGTATACAATCACAATATAACATCAAAGACTGCCAATCCCAAGAAGAACAAAGTCAACAATGTATGATCGATCCACTCTCATTCATTCATTCATTCGTTCGTTCATTCAAACATTGACTAACTCATTCGAATGGACATGGTCAAACAACAGAAAAGTATCGATTCTCTCACTGCCAAGGAATTGGAAGCATTAAATGCCAATGCATGGTTGATGGTATGCTCCGCTCAATCACTCAATCACTCACCGTTCAATCAATCAAACACTAACGAACAATGAAGAGTCCTCCATGTCAACCATTCACTAGAGTTGGATTACAGAAGGATCTTGCGGATAATAGGACAAACAGCTTTGTTAACTTACTTGATATATTGGCACAATTACAACAACCTCCACAATACATACTGATTGAGAATGTCTTTGGCTTTGAGAAATCAAATGCCAGACAGATGTTGGTTGAGAAGTTCCAGTCATTGAACTACTCCTTCCAGGAGTTCCATCTAACTCCAACTCAATTTGGTATACCAAATCAACGTCTAAGATACTTTTGTATCGTAAGTCATTCATCCAAGTTGGTGGCCAAATATGGAAATGAAAACTAACAACTCAAACTCAAACTCGTAGGCCAAACTCAGATCCAGCACTCAATCAGCCACATCAACAACATCAACTACGTCAACAACGACCATGACAACTACAGAACAACTACCAATACTCAAGGATATACCTGGTGTTGAGTCTGTTGAGGTTAGGGAATTGTCAGAGTATTTGGATGAGGATTCGGAAACGGAACAACATTACGCCAAGCATAGAGTGCCAGAGAAGTTGTTGTTGACTCCAAAGAGCATGCAATTCGATATCAAGACCAAGGTTGACAAGACTACCAACTGCTTCACAAGAGCCTACAACAAATTCGTTGAGGGCACTGGAAGTATATTACAGATGGACACCAACTTCAAACCAGACATCAACAATCCACAATCACTATTGCCAATGAAGTTGAGATACCTATCACCCAAGGAGATAACAAGTATGTCTTGTACAACATTGACATTGACATTGACATTGACATTGGCATTGACTAACAGTCCCATCTTCATCTTCACCAACCATCCACTTAGGACTACACTGCTTCCCTGAGGAGTTCGCATTCCCACCGACCTACACATTGACACAGAGTTACCGATTGATTGGCAACAGTCTGAACTGTAAGATAGTGTCCGAACTGTTAAAGTATCTATTCTATAGGTATGAAGAATCATCATAAACTTATGTTATTGATTGTTTGAGGGAAGTGATTGATTGAAGTGATTGAGTGATTGAGTGATTGAGTGATCGAGTGATCTTAGTTGTTGGAGGCATCGCCATCCGACTCATAATCAACATCTACATCAACATCATCATCAATGTTGATTGCCAGCATGTGTTGTTGCTCCTTCTTCTTGTTCCTTGAAGTGGAAGAGACGACGGACTTGTTTGAACTCTTGAGTAGTAATAATGTCCTCTTGCTTGATTCGTTGAGTTGGAGTAGTAGTTGATGATTGAGTAACTCATAGTCACGATAGAACCATATGGAGAGCGTGACAACCATGGAAGCACAGGCAAAGAACAGCATGCGTATCCTGCTGACAAGGAAATACTTGAATTGTACATTGTCAATCATGCTGTTGACTCCAAGTATATCCATTAGATGACCAGACAACGAGTGTGATGATACACTTATAGCGTATCTCTCCAACATCATCGATGTGATCAGGCCAATATATAATGGCAGCCTAGCAGGCGCAGACCTCTTGGTACTTGTAATGAAGAACAACTATTGTTGATGTTAGTAAGGGTCATGGTTGTGTAGTTGGATTGGAGTGGACTGGGATAACTTACAAGTACAGAGGTTGCAGCGTAATAGATTATGGACTTAAGGTCAATGAACTCTGATAGGATGGTGTTGGACAAGTTGTTCAAACCATTAAGGATACTAACTATTAGTTGATGTCCTTGTGAGATCTTGTCCTGAGCATTGAGTATCTCTCGTTGCTTGGACAAGCATTGATCAGTGATTGATCCTATGCCACTCAAGTCTCCAATAGCCTAATGTGTATTGTTGTATTGTTGTTAGATTGATTGATTGATCGAATGGATAATTGATTGATAGATACATACTTGCTTTTGAAGACCTAATAGTCTATTCTGATTGTCCAATGACTCCAAGGTATTGGATGATATAAAGTTGGCAGAGTCTTTGATCTGGAATAGGATATCAAGGGACTGTCGGTAGTAGTATGTGTTAGACATTACTCGGATTCGTCCCGAAGAAGTACATACCGCGCGAGAGGATTGTTGTTGTTGTTCGGATAACTTCACTTGTGACTCTAGCAATGTATCTTGCTTGACTATTGTCTCGCGAAGATTGGACTTTAGCTCCTCTGATGTGACACTTATCCTGTTGAGAAAGTCCATCGATTGCTCCAACTGCATCTTCAAGTTGCTGTTGATGTTGACCAACTTCTGTTGTGCCAAGTTGGTCTGTTCCCTATGTATTATTGGATTGGATTGGATTGGCGGTCAGAATGGGATGGCGAACCAGCCAGCCAAACAAGCACTTAAGTTAACTTACATTGACTCCGAGAGTAGTTGCGACTGGAGATAGATCTGCTTGACAGAGGTAAGAGTGTCGACTGTGGACTCGATGAGTTTGTTGACAGCCTTCTCGGTCTGTTGCTGGAACAGCTCGGACTGGAGGTAGTAGCAGATGTTTTCGGTGGAGATGTAAAAGTTGGTGTAGGTCATGTAGGCCAGCTCACTCATGGACGATGTGCACTCGGGTATGGACATCTTGTCGGTGCACTGATAGCTTGTTAGACCGGACTTTTCGAGGTGGCAACTGGCCAACTTAACGGCGAGTCTTGATCTCTGGACATCGTCCATCTCTTTACAACCATGGACCAATGACTCCATACATTGTTCCCAGCACTTGCTCTTCTTGGAGTTTGTTAGGAGTGACTCCAACTCGTCTATGTTGTTGGATGAAAGATGAATGAGTAAGATGAATGGCCTTTGGATTCTTAATTCATGGGTCATACCTTTTCCTTTGAGTGCCCTTTCGTTTGACTTGCTATCCAGCTCGAAGAATCCTGGAAAAGACTGCGTCACATTTGCCAAGGTTGCTAGAACGAGGAATAGGATGGTAATAAAAAGGATATTGCTTCTTGATTTGTTGTTGTTGATGTTGTTCATCTTTAATCAATTAAACAATCAATGGTAGGAAGATGGATGGCGGGATGGAGGGAGGAATGTAGGATAGATGGATGGATTTGGATGGCTCGTATTGTATCTCTCTGAGAATAATACACAATAAGCTTCAAAGAAGACTCTTTATTCTTCAATGGTTTAAGAGTAATAACAGTTAGGCTGTTACTAAATGAAAGAAGAATAAGTCCTTGTATTGATTGAGGCCTTTTTGTAATGTTATGATGATTCACAATGTTCTCCCAAAGTAATAAGGTCAATGACTACTAGTGACTACCTCCACTATCAAACAACAGTTGAGGACTATGGTAGGTAACTTAGTGTTATCAATGACTATTCTTCTATTCGTTAGGGGAGTTATATTATTTTTGTGATCTATCAAAGGGGAGAGACAGAGGAGATAGATGGTATTGTTATATATATATATATATATTATTTATTCGCAATAAACAATACTTGATTGATTGATGAATGAATGAATGAATGAATGATTGAATGATGGTTATTGGATTGTTTGTTGGTGATTGGTGATTGGTGATTATGTAAAGTTGATTAGATTGATTGAATGGATGACCAATATGAACACTGTTGTTAGTATATTCAACTACAATACCTACTACTTTTATTACTACTACTAAAACAGGTAATATGAAAATATATATGTATAAGTATACAAATAAAGTGATGAGGGAACAATGGTTTACAAACAAACACAACAGTTCGTTTTGTGATCCTTTTCCAAAAACAGTCATCACTTCCAATTTTGAACATCAAATCCTTCATTCAATCATTCTTTAGTTCATTCATTCTACTCAATCATTACTTTTGTGATACATATATATATATTAGTAGTAAAAGCAATGGATGAACATAGACAACATGATCATCAATCACTAGAGTCAGTGTTCTCAAAGGATGAGTTTGATACGAAGCAATGGATAAATGACTTGCTTGGTTCAAACAACAAACAATTAACTAAACAACAATCTGATGATAAGTTTAACTATCTAAATGAGAGTGAACTAGAAGTATGTACACTATACAAACAACAAAGTATTCATTCATTCTGACACATAAGTTTGATTGATTGGTCACTTTGATGATCCCCTCTCAACATACATCCCACATCAGAATGTTGCCTCTGATGCATTGTCAAAGCTACAGATATTCAGTTTGGAACTGAATATATCACTGGAGAATAGATCCAATCAATCAATGTTATATGTTCCCAAAGCGATTAGAGAGATTGATAGGGTACGCAAAGAGTCCTTAATACTTAAACAAAGAGTCAAACAGATCAGTGGCGCAATTGATTCAATGCACTCTAGCACCTCGGCAACAGTGGCCAATGTATCAGCATTGGATACGGTGCGCAAGAGAATTGACCTATGCATTCGCTCTTTGAATGAGGCTGAGAAGCTGCTCACATTCTCATCGAGTATCGATCAGTTGTTTCAATCGACTGACTATCTAAAGATTGCAGAGACACTCGAGGGTGTCAAGCAGTCACTATCAGTACTCTCGGACATTCCCGAGTTCCGCGAGCAGGCCAAGCACTTCCAGCAGCACCAGGATCGTCTGGAGCAGCTGATTCGTCCACAGCTGACGGCCGCATTGACTCAGCGTGACCTGGAGGCATGCAAGAACTATCTGCGCGTCTTCCAATCGATCAAACGCGAGCAGCAGTACATGTCACACTATTATAATGTGAGATTGGAACCAATCCGTCAACTGTGGGCATCATTTGGAGGTGGTGCGCGTAATGTCACCCCACCCAAGCCGCCTGCTGGCAGTCCAGGCACCAGCTCCCCTCCCAACATCAATCAGACAACGCCAACTGCCAATCTTAATCAATGGATACAGACATTCTATGAAGAAGTTACACTGTTGGCACACACAGAGCTCGACTGGCTCGTTCGACTATCCCCAACCAACAGCGCACAGCTCACAGAACAGATGCTGGTCAGTCTGTTCCTCTCGATCAACACACAGCTACACACAAGGATCGAGCAGTTTGTTCCACCCAGCCAACCGGGCAAGACTGGCGAGCTGATCACACTCTATCAAACAACGATCCAATTCCTCAAGCAGCTAAAGCTGCCCGAGAAGAACACACTGATCAAGACTGTACTGGAACCATTCAAGCATTTCCAGACCAAATATCCAGAGAACGAAGGAAAGCTATTCAGACAATATCTATCCTCATTCACACTTGTTGTAAGATCACTGCCATGCCGCTCATCATCCCTTGCTGCTGCATCCAAACTTACAATCCACCTCCATCCCATATACATCCATCCAGAAAAAGAATGACTACATGACGACGATCAAGAACGTGGAGAACTCAATCAACAAGCTATTCCCTCTATGTGAGGCCTCAATCGACAGGCTATACGAACTGACACATGCTACCGAGATTGAGCCATATGTACAAATGTTAAATGTAAGGTCATACAGATTGATCATGATCAATCCAGCTTGTCACTAAACAATCACAATCAATCAATCCAATGTAGAATGTATTTAGAGACTTTATAACAATGTTGAAGGAGACACTTAATGAGCTAAAGGTCATGTCCAACATTGCTGTGCCAAAGGATATACTGATGCAGATTGAACAAAGAAGACAACAGGCGATGCCAGGTGCAAAGCCACCTGCTCAACAAGTCCTACAGCCAGCCCAGTTGAACTGGGAATATTTCCAAGGTGCCATGAAGCTGCTCCAAGACATTGCCGTCTTTATGAATCGTCTGAGATCATTCGAACAATCGATCCAATCCAACTTTATAAGTTATCTATCATCAATGGATGAGATGGATAGTCTGTAAGTATCATTCAATCATTCAATCAATCAATCAAACGAATGATCCAATCCACTGACGATCAATCAAACAAAGTGAATCACATATTAGGAAGATTATTTTACATGATATAACAAAGTTACACAAGGTACAGAACATTGTACATCAGATATCATCATTATCACTACCTACAGCAACTGTGACAACAACACCAAAGAAGTCACTGCTTCAGGATGCTTACGATCAAGTTGTAGGATTCTGCGCACAATGCCAGAACTATGTGTTTGAGACAATGATCCATTACATCAGACAGCGATTCAAGGATATGCCAAAGATGGCCGAATGGAAACAACAGGGTGGAGGCGAGTCCTACCAAACCAATCCATCACAAGTCAGCTACAGCACACAGATTGCCGAACATCTATTGAACATCCCCCAACAACTTGATCCATACTCTGAGGATGAACTATATCGATTCTCATACCATGTTGCAATGGTATGTCTTGTCTGATCAATCAATCAATCACCTCGTCGTCCGTCCGCTCGCTAACCAACCAACCAACCTCAGACCTATCCTGTCAATGATGACTTTTATCAGAACTTGGTGAAGCAACTACATCAACAACAGGTGGAGCGAAGGATACAGATGAGTATGATGTCGGATGATGAAGCTAGTCCAGCAAAACAGGAGCATCACTCAGAGACTGAAGACGAGAATATTGATGAGATGGATGGTATCGCACATCAGTGGATGACACTTGTGGCCAGTGCCACCGAGAAGTTGTATCTTCAGTCAATCGTAGAGATATCGATGCTGTCCGAGTTTGGCTGTCAACAGTTGTCCAATGACATTGGCTATCTGTTCAATGTACTCTCTGCTCTTGGTGTCTCTGCCGATCCACTTTTATCCAGGACTCAACAACTAGTGTCCACGCCCAAAGAGAGATATGCAGAGATCATCAGCAACATTATGAAGAGTGACAACAATGCCGAGAAGAACATTGCCAACCTCATTGCCAAGATGAGAGGTATAAAGTTATGATTACCATGACCATCCATCCATCCGTCATCAGGTCCAAGAAGTTAGTAGTTCAAGTTTGTCCAACAACTTCTTTTTATGTTGTGGTTGGTTGTGGGCCCTTTGAAATTAATCTTTTAATTTAGGAGGACCTTCTGGACATGACCCTTCCCTTTTGGAAATTTTAGGACCACTTGCCCATTTAGGTGGTCTCATTGGGGTCACCACAACCAACATCCAATCAACACTATTGTATTGTTGGTTGAGCAATCCAATCATGTATGTGATGGTTGAAAGGTTTGTTGTTGTGTGTTGTGTGTGTGTCAATGGGACATTGGTAGTTACCAATTCCAAATTTCCTCACACTTCAACAACGCTAGTGCAATGTGTGAATGAATGATGATTGATTGTGTTGTGTGAATATGTGTGTGAATAAATGAAGGTGAGGTGATGGATGATGGATGGTGACTTGACAGCCGGTTGGCACTCTCATTCACACACAGAGACAGACGGAAGGACACTCACTCAACCCAAACACACAATTGTTCAAGAGTGGAATCACCTTCTGTTTCACTTGTCTATTGCACTCTCTCTCTTTCTCTCTCAAGTGTTAGTTAGTTAGTTACAATCACTCCTATCTCTATTTAATTAATTAAAACTTCTATAACAACATATATTATAGTTAGTTATTTATCATTCTGTTAATAACAATACATAAAATGTAAGTACAATCAATGAAGAAAGGAACGGGATGTTGATAAGTTGTTTTTGTTATCAAATAACTAACAATCCAATCAATATCAATCAATCAATGATCTTTATTGATGTTTCCAACATGTAGTCAAAAGTCCAAAGTCCACTTTATCAACATCTTCATAACAAACACACAACAATGTCCGAAGTCGAAACTGCACCAAACCCAACCACAAAGATCGTTCAGCAACCAGTGATCAATATTGTGAAGAAGAGACCTGCTGAGCTTCTCCAGGAGTACAAGTCAACTACCAACACCAAATAATCAACCAACCAACCAATCTATCAATCAAACAATCCACCCTACTGCTACCCTCCCAACCCAACATCCCAACACTCCCCACCTTCCGATCAAAATTGGTTGGTTCCCCAAAGCATCACAAGAAAATGATGAAGACAAAGAGCCAACGATAACAACAACAACAATCACCAAAGTGTTATAATCGAATCAAACTGTACATATATACATACATTGGAGGATACTTGGTTGTGACACCAAACCTGCAGAACAAGTATCCTCCACTTCCCCCCAATCCCTATTCATTCATTCATTAGTTAGTTAGTTAGTTAATCAGTTAATCTCTATTATTTTATATATATATAAATATGTATATATTCAAATGAACTTCTTTGATATCATTGATTGAGTCTTATATCGCTCGCTTTCTTGAATGCATTGAAGTTACAGTATTGCACGAACCTTTACTTCATAGCGTGATTGGTGATTGATGAGTGTTATTGTGGATCGTGATTGTTTTGAGATATCTCGGGGTCGTGCACCATCTGGACCCGAAACCAACCCGCTCAAATAAATCAAATAATAATCTTGGTGTCATGATACAGATACACACTCACACAAACATGTTACAAACACATAATACTTTTCCATTCAGGCCAATCGTCCTTATGAGATAATTACTTTGCAATTTCAGATTCACCATCTGAATATTTAAATTATTTTATTTTAAAATAGATGAGGGGGAGTGTGAGTGAGAGGAGTGAGTGGATGGATTAATGGGGTGAAAGTGTGTGTGTTAGTTACTGAGATGGGGGATGGAGTGAGCCACGCACCACACCAAACACAAAGACTCTGTCGTGCGTTCATCCCAAACCCATCACATCATCACCATTCATCCATTTCATTCAATTCATACCCTTACACTTACATACTTATACATACATACAGATAGAACTATTAATACTAGTTTCATTATCTTATCTCTTACACACATACATACATATACACATAAAATGAACAAGTTTATTACAATTGCTTTGGTCTTCTCTGTGCTTTGCTTTGGCATCGCCTCTGCTGACATCTGGTCGTACTGCACTGGCAACATCAACCCAACTTTCAACATCAACACATTGACCCTCACTCCAGATCCCCCCAAGATCGGTCAGGTCGCTACTGTCAACCTCCAGGGTACCCTCACCGAGGAGATCACCTCTGGCTCATCAGTCTTCTCCATTGAGTACTTTGTCGCCGGTGCCTGGAGAGCCCTCCCAGATTTTGACAACGATGTCTGCTCCGTCGTCACTTGCCCAGTCCAGACCGGTCCATTCACCTTCTCCACTCAGATCAACATCCCCTTCATTACCCCAAGAGTAAGTAGAGACTAGACTAGACTTGACTTAACTGAAGGAAGTACTTTATCTAACATCATCATCATTCTTTCACTCTCTCTTCTTCCTTCTTTAGGGAAACTACCGTGGTCAGCTCATCATGAACGACCAGACCGGAAGAAACATTACTTGCCTTACCTTTGCTACCACCCTCAACCCATAAGTCTATTCATTAGGATAGCTAATAAATCTCGATGGACTTGTTGACTTGAGTAGTTGGTTACTACTACCAATCAATCACAATCGCCTCGGTTCGAACGACTTTAAATATTTAACCTAACCAAAATCAACACTCTACCCCTAGATCAGTCTATGAACATGTTCTGGCTGCTGGATTTGAGTCTGATTGATTGATTGTTCAGTGTAATTAATAAGTTAAGTTACAAGTTTACTTTGGTAGTGGACCATTGAAGTTGGCAATACAGAGGGACATTGAAGCCATCGATGCTACACATTGATCCATTTGATGTGGGTCCACCTTGTCCAGGGCATCGCCCTCAGAGTGATGGTACCAGAAGTACTTTGACATGTCGACTGATAGTTCTCCGCCTGGTATCTGGCCGGGTACGATCAGGAAACTGTTGTCTGTGCCAGACTCACCCTCGATCACCAGGTTGGCGCCGAGCTCTGATAGAACGTCGTCCGACAGTGATTGAAGCGCGTCGATCGTGGCCTCTGAGGCGCCAGACACGGTGAAGCCCAGTGGAGTGGTCGTGCCTCCATCAGTCTCGATCGAGAAGAACGTCTCGTTTCTGTGAACGTTGGCATAGGTTTGTGCGCCAGCGGCACCATTCTCCTCGTTGGTCCAGGCGACCACTCTGACTGTGCGCAGTGGCTGAATGCCGAGCGCCTTCATCAGTCGTACGGCTTCCCAGGCGACCATCACACCGCCTCCATCGTCGACGGCACCTTGGCCGACGTCCCAACTGTCGATGTGACCGCCAATGACTACGACCTGCTCCGGGTACATTGAGCCAGTGACCTGGCCCATGACATTGCGAGACACTGCTGGGTTGGGCATTGTCTGTGCTTCCATGTAGAGGTTGACACTGACCACGGTGCCCTGATCGGAAAGTCCCTGGATAAGGTCGGCATCCTCCAGAGTGATGGCTGCAGTGGGGATCTTGTTGACACCATCGCGATACGACATCATACCAGTGTGTGGCGAGCCAATTGAGAATGGAGTGATTGAACGAACGAGTGCAGCGACACCACCGCACTTTGCAGCGGCCACTGCTCCACCAGACCTATAAGCAACTGTAACGCCATACTCTGTGAATGGTACATTGAACAAAACAATCTTTTTTGGACACAAAGCAGACTTGTTTACCAAATCATCAAAGCTTGAAACGACCAATACTTCGGCTGTGACTCCCTGGTTGTTTGATTGATTGGTCAGTACTGAGTATCATCATAGCCAATGACATGGGCGACACATCAATAACATACGTTGGCTGTTGTGTTGATTGAACCTCCAAGACCAAGGATGTTCATTCGTTTGGTGAATGGACTGAGGATGGCGGCATGTTCATTGCCACGTACCCAATGGGTGACGTTGACATCTTGAGTCTGTACATTCTCCAATCCATCGGCTATCATCTGTGCCTGTACCCAGTCGATTGCCTTCTCCAATGCATCTGAACCCGACAGTCTATTTCCAAAAGTCGTACACATTGTCTTTAATTTAGAGTATGCCTGAGTACCCTTCAATGCAGTATTAACAAGCTTTCCACCATCATCTTGACAATTATGTGATAGTACTACAGTATGTCTTCCCTCTATAATGATTGATTGATTGAGTATGTTTGAGTGAGTATGTATCATGTGATTGAATGAATGATTGATCAAACATAACATACTGCTTAAGATCACTAATGGTACAACAGTTGCAATGATTGTACAGACGATTAGGATAAGTAGTACTAATAGGATTAATCTGTTTCTTCTTGTCTTTGGTAACCATTTTGAGAACAATGATCCTGATTGACCATTCTCATACTGTTCATCATCATAACCTTTAATGTCATACTCCTCCTTCAACAATACAGAGTTCTCATTCGAGTCCATCCCTATCTCTCTATCTCTCTCTCTTTGTTAGTGTATGTTTGAATGATTGATTGATTGAATGATGAGTACCAATGTAGACAGACACTTCAATACCAATGGACCACATGATGTTAGATTTTTGTAAAACCGACCATTCGTCGGAGGACTCCATTGGGTGACCCTTTTGCCAAAGAAAGAAAGTGATTCAAATAAATGTGGTTTTGACAATCAGATAATAAATTAGGGAAGGATACCCAACTGATTGATCAGAGATTGAACATGATCAATTAATCAATCAACTTAATCAATCAATTCAAGAATCTAAGTTATTTAGATTTCCAAAAATATCAAAAGACAATGATGTTCTGTTTGTTTTCCAAACTTCATCATTCTTGAACAACCCAACACAACATACTTAAGTGATAAGACATGTAGTTATTTGTAATAATTCGAGAGAATGGATAGTAATAATAATAATAATAATAGTAGTAGTAATAATCATTGTAAGAAGACATTGATATTATCAGTATTGTTTAATAATCATGTATTACGTAAACAGATTTGGAGATTGGTTAGTTGGATACATAGACGTTTAGGTGTAAAGATAATCAAATGGAAACAGTTATCTGCAATGTTCATATGTAGTAATCGTAGATTATTACCAACACTCAAATATATACTTAATGGTCATGTGAAAGGATTGATACATCCATTAAAGTTTGATAATATATCATTGTCAAACTTGTGTAGATATAATACTGATCTGTCATTGGTTCAATCAATACGCAGTGGACTCATCAATCATCGAGTACAATTCGAAGGATATCATCATGATGTTGTGGCAACATGTTGTATGTCTGGTAGTCTAGACATTGTCAAATATCTCGTGGACCTTGGTTATCCAATCGGTGCTGAATCCGTCACCAATGCAGCAATCAGTCGTAATCTAGACCTGTTGTTATACTTGCATGATAGACGACAGTCCATACCAGCCGATGCATGGACTGTCAAGATGTTTGGAGTGGCCGTGCAGCATGGTGGCATGAAATGGATCACATTCCTCATGGAGCACTATCCAGAGATATGCTTTGTCAACTCGTGGATAATGGAGCAGGCTGCAAAGAATGGTGACTTGGAGTGTGTCAAGTATCTTTATTCAGTGAGACAGACCCAGGAAGAGTCGGGTCATCCCAAGGATGATATGAAGCCATTTCATCTCGGTGAATCACTCAAACATGCATCAATCAATGGTAGGTTGGAGATTGTACAGTACCTCTTGGCACACACAGGTTTCAACTTTGGAGAACTTTCTGCGGCCAACAACGAAGCCTGTCGGTATGGCCATCTCGCCATTGTCAAAGCACTTTGTAGCCGGCTCAAGAATGTGGACCAATATGACACCCACCCCGATGAGGAGATTAGCCTCAATCAAGCTATCCAGAACGCTGCATCAAGTGGACATCTCGAGATCGTTGAGTATCTGCGACAGGGTGGCTATGCAAAGATGAAGAACGTAGACTTTTCTCAATGTTTGCTTGGTGGCAACATCAGGATCGCCCAGCTGGCCTACGAGGACATAACTGCTGCGGGCAACATAGTGGCGGTCAGTCCACTTTGCTTCGACCATGTGCTAAAGTCCAATCACCTTGACATCATCAAGTTCATCAACGAGAAGCTCATCGATACAGGTCTAAATCGTTGGGTCACAGCATTGCCCATCTCAGCCGGACTCAACTATCCCGAGCTACTGGTATACCTCCTGGAGAAGAGACCAGAGTTTAGTATACCTGAGGCAAGCTCACCACCCAAAGCATACCACTACCCAGACATACCCGAAAATAAGGTCAAGCATCTATGTTCGGCAATAGAGACAGCATACATGGATTCGATCATTGGTGGATACTATCATTGTTTGGTGGCACTGTACAAACACTTCCCCAAACACTTCCAACGTGTACGATTCATCAAACTCTACAAACAATACCCGTCATACGATATCAATTATTGGTTCCAAACAACACTTGACATTGATCCTGATCAATAATATCAACAACATGTATGTACAATCGACAACACTAGAGCGCCAACTCTTGGTCCATCAGATGAGCCAATTGTAGAATTTGAAGTTCTTCACATAAAGTGTATCTCCCTCAATGATACCAAAGTCATTAACATAGAAACGCGATAGAAAACTGATCTGCTCTGCTGTGAGCCTGTAGGAGGAAGATGTTAACAATGAAGAATGCAGAATGAATATTGAACTTACTCTTGGTTGAAGACTTGTGGAAAGAATTCCTTTGGAGGCTTGTCAAGGATGGTATACCCCTGGAGCTGGGGTGTAATGGGATGTTGTTGGAGATGAAGGAAATCTCCAACACCGCCGACTTCCTTGACTAGGGAATTGGGTGCTCTTTGGAAATTGATACAAGTGTAGTTGGATGACTTTCTACCTCAATTAATTAGTTTGGACTAGGTTGTTTCAATATTGTTTAGATTCTTCTCGAAGTTGTCTATCTTCTAGTTCTTTAAATTAGAGTGTTGCCAATTCCGGCATTGGTTGATATCCATCATTGTTTGGATAAATATTGTTCGAATCCTCCATTATTATTATAACAGAGATAATATTTCAATTGTACAAATAATTAATAATTAACATGTTTTAGATGATCAACTTATAATATATATATAAGTTGATCATCTAACTTAATATTCAAGGACTATTGGACCATCCAACTTTGAAAAGGACCATTTGAAAGTTCAAGCGCCCATTCCTATTTTTAGAATTTCTTTAATTTTTGGAGTTTTGAGATATGTTTACATATTAAAACATGTTTTACCGATTCATTCTTTTTAATCAAATACAATGCAGCAGTTATAACTGTTGAATGAATAACAAACTAAATGGAAGACACATCACAGGCTGAAGCATTATCAGTGTCATTGGAAGGAGGTGCAAGATCAACATCCATAACATCATCACAACACAAAATATCACAACAACAACAACAACAAGAGTTAGAGTTATTAGACTGTTTTAGCACAAGCGAATGCAGTTTATATAATAATAGTAATAGTAATAGTAACATTGTTACATCGATGTTACTTCTTAATAGTAGTGTTGACTCATCTCCACTTCTATCCACTCTGTCAATGTTTGATCAGACATCAACGTCAACAACACCATCACCTCATATCAATAGACGACAACATTCAAACATCAACATCTTTACAAATGATACATTGTTGCCAACATCAGCCAATGTCAATGTTGATCTCGACGTCAATGTCGATGTCAAAGTTCACGTTGAACCTATAACACTCAAATCATTGGATAACCGCGCTCTAGACTTTGGCAAACTGGCCAAGGATTACAAGATTGATTCGACATTTTACAGCGCATCGGCACAGGCAGCGGCCTGTGTTGAGTTGGACGACATTGTTACAAAGACCAATGAGTTGATCGCGGCGACAATCGCATCAGACAGATCATTCGCCAAGCAATACATGCAGTCCATGCGTATCCAAGACTACTCCTCGTCAGTGCTGACCAACACTCATCTCTTGTGGAACCTTCGCAACATCAGTGCCTTTGTTCTGAACTCTCCCCTACTGGACACTCCGCATTATCAAGATGACATCAATCATTTCCGTCAAGATCTCAATCTAATCTTTAACTTTTATCGTACATTAGTCAATGATCTATTATTCCAACTATGCTTCGTGGCTCAGTCTACAACTCATTCACATTGGAGAGTCAATCAATCACTCTCTCACAACTCATTACCATTATTCCAATATAGCAAGATAACGATATCAAGCACAATCAAAGTCATAACAGAGTTGAAACGTCAGTTTGAGCATTTGGAGAATATCATTCTGTTGGCATCACCAACATCAGTGTCATCAATGTCATCAGGATCATCAGCAACATCCACGCCAGACCAACAACACCAACAACAGAACCAACGACAATCATTGCTATCAACATTCCAATCAATGTTGGAGAACAATACTATATTCCTTAATCACTATTCAGACTTGGATAAATATATCAAGTCATCAATCTTACAAAGATTCACTTATAATGCATTATCAAGTTATACCAAGAAGGTTAGAGGTACAATTATCAATGACAAATTATTCCAAATGGTCATTGGACTTGAGCGCAAGGAGTACCTATTCATATGGGTATGTTGTATTCCAGGTCCATCATTCATCACATCACAATCACTAACAATCATAATCAATCACGTACAGATGATATCATGTTCCAACAACAGCAAGCAGTATTATCTCAATACTTGTAACCCTGCTGCATTCAACATGTCATTCATATCCAAGGCACCAATACTTCCAACACTAATGACTATACTTAATGAGGTATGATGTATCACTCATTCACTCATTCACTCAATCACTAACTTACTCAATCACAAATAGATACTAAAGAAGATAGAGTTGTACAAGAAGGTGGAGACAAAGAAGAGCATCAAGGCGTATAATGCCATTGTTGATATTAATGTTCCATCTGTGTTTGAGTTCATGGAGAAGAAGTTGACAAAGGTTAAAGCCATGTATGATTCACTCAATGACAAGACACTACAGGCAATTACCATGTGCACTACTACTCCTACTCCTACACTCACAGCCAAGGACACATCCATCAAACCTGACAACCTCATCAAACATATAATCAAACTGACAACACTTTGGAACAAGACAATGCAATCATTCTCTTCCATCTTTTCACCTTCCTGTCCAAAGATATTGACAAGGAAGCCAATTGCGTATGTAGACACTTGGCGCCAACCAAACCAATCGATCATCACTGGAAGTATTCCAATCACTAATCAATCATAACAGGAACAATTGGCACGCAAGCGCATACTTGATGACCATGTATTGTGGAATCACTTCGATATTGCCTGGTCAGCCTAGACTGTTTGAACGCATGACGGGCACTCTGCCCTTCTTCTTCGAGTCGATTATGTTTATCAACTATGAGTTCTGCTTCTCAAAGTTGGCCAGACAACATCGTATCTATGATCAATTCGCACAGAGTGTACGTGATATGAACGAACAAGAGAGACGACACATCCTAGAGCGACTCTGGGACGACTGTTTCATAATGGGTGGAGTCCTATTCTGTTCATCCGAGCGTATTCTTCGTATGGACATTGGTCATCTAAACTATTTATTGTAAGTTACCGGTAGCTCTTGCAAGCATCCATGAGATACTAATACAACAAATCAATCAGTTCAATCAAAATTGGAGACGATAAGTACTTCCTGGTTGGCGATCCAGAGATCAAGAACTTTAAGCTATTCACACTTGATGCATTCATCAACGTCATACTCCAACGAGTGTTCTACTTTGCTGGTCCCAAGGCTGAATGAATAACAAACCGAACTATCATATATGGATTGATGGATGTTGGATGATTATTTATTGATTATTTGATTGAACTGCATTGATGATGAATGAATTCAATGGTGGAATGGATTGATCACTTGGTGAACCAGATCTGGAAGTCATCCTTGTTGGACACTGTCGCCAGCTCACTGGCAAAGAAGTTGGCTGGTGGCTGCTCGGTGAACACGAGAGGAAGCTCAACGGTGATGAGGATGTAGTCTTGGTTCTGTGCGATGGCTGCTGTGATAGCTGCGTCCTTGGTGTAATAGTACACGTTCAAAGGATCATCCTGGAGTAGCTTGGACTTCTTCCTCAAGCGTTGTACACGGTTGGTCACCTCACGTGCGACTCCACGACTGACGCGCTCAGCATCAACTTCCATGTCCAAGAGTGTAGTCACTTCCCTGTCGCTTGTGGGCTCATATCTCTCCTTTGGACCATTGTACAGTCGTGCCAACTTGATGTCCTCGGTTGTGAGCACATATCCATTGATTGTTATCTCGCCAGTGTTGGAGAATTGGTGCAACTCGTCCTGAGTGAGCTTGGCGATCACATCATACACGGCCTTCTTGTCATTCTTGAGTCTGAGACCGAGACGCTTGTGATCGGGATCGGCCAACAATGTTGTGAGATTGTCATGTGGTCGTACAACGACATTCTCCACGTTCAACTCGTAGATGACATACTGCTCTAGATCATGGACGTCCTCAAGGTATTGAGGGTTCTCAGACATGACCACAAAGTCCCTCAAAGGTGTCTTGATGGGCACGTTGCGGCGATCGCGTGATGATCTACCCATGTCGATCACAGTCTGCATCCTGGCCACAGCTTGATTGAGTCGCGTGTCGATCAATGATTCGTTGACCTCTGGGATCATCTCGTAATGCACCGAGTCCATCTGCTTCTCCTTGGGGAGCACGCGCTTGAGGTTCTGGTACAGGTGTTCGGAGAGGAAGGGCGTGAAAGGTGACATGGTCAGCGTGACCTTCAAGACCACCTCATAGAGCACGTTCATTGAGTGAACAGTCTCGGCCTCGCCCTTGAGGTTCTTGAAGCGCTCACGGTTCACCCTGATGTGCCAACGAGTCAGCTCCTCGACAAACTTGGTGAACAGTGGCACAATCGTGTACAGTCTGTACGCTGCCATCTCCTCGCGAACTGCCTTGATCAATGCGTGGCAAAGTCCCATGATCCATCGGTCCATTGTGTTGGTGGAGGCCAGTGCGTTGGCTTGGTCTGGGACGAAGGGACGTCCTGTGAACTTCTCATGGCGCAGGGCCATCTGCACGGTGAATCGGTAGGCATTGTACCATGGCAGGAGAAGGTTCTTGAGGACATCCTTGACACCTTCATCCTTGAACTTGAGTACATCGCCACGGACCACGGGTGAGTCGATGAGATACAATCGCAAAGCATCAGATCCATACTGATCAATGAGTAGCTTGGGCTCGGTATAGTTCCTCAGACTCTTGGACATCTTCTCACCCTTCTCATTGAGGACCAGCCCATTGACGATCAAATTCTGGAACGGTGCCTTGTCGTACAGGATCGTTGAGAGCACCAACAATGAGTAGAACCAGCCACGTGTCTGATCGATGCCCTCAGCGATGAACTGGGCCGGGAACTTCTTCTCAAATCGCTCCTTGTTCTCAAAGGGGTAGTGCAACTGCGCGTAGGGCATTGAGCCCGACTCGAACCAGCAATCAAACACTTCCTCGACACGTCGCAGCACACCCTTGCCCTGCTTGGAAGGGATGGTCAGGTGATCGATGAACTCTCGATGAAGGTCGGTCACTCGCACGCCTGTCAGCTGCTCCAGCTCGTCGACAGAGCCGACGGCCACTTGCTCCTCGCCATCCTCGCTCACCCACAGCGGGATTGGTGTGCCCCAGTATCGGTTGCGAGACACAGCCCAGTCCACGGCCGAGTTGAGCCAGTTGGCAAAGCGCTCCTCTTTGACAAACTTGGGTACCCAGTGTGAGGTCTCGTTGCTCTTTAGCAAGCTGTCGCGCATCTGCTCAACACGGATGAACCAGCTGCTGACTGCACGGTAGATCAATGGAGTGTTTGAACGCCAGCAATAGGGATAGTTATGTTTGATCGTTGACATTTGGACCAGACGGGAACGTTCCTTGAGTGCCTTGACCACATCCTTGTCGGCATCCTTGACATATCGTCCGACAAAGTCTTTGATGTCGGCCGAGTAGAATCCATTGGCGTCTACTGCGTTCATTGCCGGTCGCTTGTAGTCATCCCTGGTAACGATGCCGTTGGCCAGGCAGACCTTGAAGTCGTCCTCGCCATATGCTGGTGCGGCATGGACTACACCTGTGCCAGCGTCGCTAGTGATGAAGTCTCCGGCAACAACGCGGAACGCACCCTTGTTGGCATCAGTGGCAAAGTAGTCAAAGGGAGGCACATACTGCAGGCCCACAAGGTCGGCACCCTTGAGCCGCTCGACAAGCTTGAACTCCTTGTTGTTGGCATCAAGTTTGACATCCTTGTACAACTGCGACAGTCTCGCCTCGGCCATCACAAAGGTCTGCTTGCGCACCAAGTCGTGGACCTTGACATAGTCCATGTCTGGCTTGACTACTAGTGCGAGGTTGCAGGGCAGAGTCCAGGGGGTGGTGGTCCAGGCCACAAGAGACACGTCCTCTTGGCCAACCAACGGGAATGATACCACAACAGCTGGATCACTAACGTTCTTGTGATTGGAGCTGGCTTCAAAGTTGGAGATAGGCGTGGTGCATGAGGTGGAGTAGGGCATCACCTTGAAGCCTTGGTACACCAGACCCTTGGAGTGCAGCTGCTTGAACACCCACCAAACTGACTCCATGTAGGACAAGTCCATGGTCTTGTAGTTGTTCTCCATGTCGATCCAACGACCAATGCGTCTGACGGTGGTCTTCCACTCCTCGCTGTACTTCATGACGATGGCACGACACTTGGCATTGTAGCTGGGGATACCCATCTTCAGCACGTCCTCGCGCGTGCGGATGCCGTGTGCCTTGTCAATCTCAAACTCGATGGGCAGGCCGTGGCAGTCCCAACCAAAGCGACGCTCGACATAGTGTCCGGTCTGATGCGCGAACCTTGTCACACTATCCTTGATCGTTCCGCACAGCAAATGACCATGATGTGGCGTGCCAGTTGCAAAAGGAGGTCCATCATAAAATGTGAACTCTGGCTTCCCCTTTGACATCTCAAGTGATGTCTTGAATGCATCGATCTCATCCCAATACTTGAGTGTCTTTTCCTCCTCACTTGGGAAGTCGATTCTTTGTGGTGCTGAGTTTGGAAGTTAGTCGTGGACTCCCATGGCTCGCGCATTGAATGACCAACATAACACAAACATACCTTGTTCCATTCTCTACGTTGATGTTCAATGATAATGTTCAAGTGATAATTGATAATCTGTTGTTACTTTGTTGTTTGTGCTCTTTTCCTTCTTGTTGTCGTTGTAGTTGTTACTAAGCATTTGGTTGTCGTAGTTGCAATTGTATGTTGTTGATGTTGTTGTTGTTGTTTGATAATATTTGTTGTACATATAAACAAGTATTTAACTCTATATTTGTGTATAAGTATTATTGTTATGATTGGTATAGTTGATAATGATGTTGGATATTAATGGACCTGTCATCTTGTCTTTATAATTATGTCTTTTACCAGACGTGTCTGTTTGTGTTTCCAAGTTAGTTCTGTTGATTATCATGAACATGCATTCTTGCGAAATAACAAGGAGTGGTGTGTTGCTTTGACTAAAGTTGGAAACCCTCAATGATCATTATGATCAGAACATCGGAGATATTAATGCAGAATAATCAAGTTCTGATATAATATCTCATTAAGATGTCTGATTGTTATCTAGATTTTCATATCATAATTACAACATATATATATCATCAACTTTGAAAAGTCGTAGATTGATTATGGGATTTCAAAGGTGGGTAACGTTGATTATCGTTAAAATTTTCAAATTTGAAATTGGTTGGAGGTGTTGCTCAATGTGCAGTTCATTTCACACTGTATCCCTTTATCTCTAACTATTATCTCTATCTCTATCTCTCTATATATCTCTATATTATCACAAACTTTACATTCATACCATACATACATATATTATATATGTGTTATTTATATATACATACTAGGTGAATGTTTAACAATTGATGAGCTACTCTACAACATCTCCTTCATCAACTTCAACAGCAGTATCAGTCGATAATGAGACAATACATTATAACAACAATAACAATAATAATAACAAGCTGAAACAGGACGATATTGATCAGATCGAGTTTGATGTAGACGTCGTTGGTCGTGTCGAAGGAGACAGCGGCGTCAATCACGACTCGAACAACAACAACAACAACAAGATGCTCAATGGTCGCATGGACACTCCGACAACCTCGTCCAAAGACGAGACTATATTTGATCTGATGCAGGACGAGGACATGATCACAAATCAGGACGGCACCTCGACTTCACCTACAGGATCGTCATCGATATTATTGTCAACAGCCGACTCTGACCTTTTGGTCAACAACAACAATAATAATAACAACAACAGTAGTAGTAGTAGTAGCAGTAGTAGTAGTGCTCCTACAACTACACACAATGAGTCAACAAATGGAGGTGATGATGACAAGATGAACATAGATGAACCAGACCGGCATCAACAACATGAACAACAACATGAACCACAACAATTGACGACACCAATATCGATGACAATGGATGTTAGGAAAGATGATGATAGCACACAACAACAGATGAATACAATGACAACGACACAGAGCATAGTAACATCAAGTGCAAACAGTGGCGCCAACAAACGAAGCTACTTGGACGAACGATTCACTCCACGAGACGACATCAAGCACACCCTATCAAACTATCCCGACACCTCACAGCTCAAGTCATCACTATTCATCAACCTTTACTCCAACGGATACAGCTTTGACAATCTAAATAGAGTATGAATGATTGATTGGAGGAAGGAGGATGATGATAGAGACCATGGCTCACTCACTCACTCACTCAATCAATCAACAGGACAAGATATATCCATATGATAGGACATCAAAGGAGTTCTTGGGCTCCATCGGACAGGGCAAGCTTGTTCCAGATCTCATTGATATTCTGGACGAAGTCACGTGTCACTATTACGATGGATGCATCATCGCAGAGATCAGAGATTACAGAGGAACATCACAACCAAAGTTCAACAACATTAGTAGTAGCGCAACAACATCCACAACAATCAACAGCAGTATAAACAACAACAATGAGGACAATAGTAGTACTTTACAACAACAACAACAGACGCAACTACAACAACAACAACAACAACAACATGATACTAGCAATATACATATACAAGAGAAGAAGATTGTGTTGAAGCCAGACACCGAGTCACTGCTATTTGACATCAAGAAGAATGCCTCTTTACTCAAGAACTCTGCCAACGAAGAGTATCTGCTACTGTTTGAACAGAAGCTGTTGGAAATCACCACATCATCTCTGTTTCTATCACCCAAGCACTCCACACTACTAGATCAACGATATTACAATCAACAAAAGTTCAACTGTACAAAGAGGCCAAAGCAAGTTGACAACAGGTATGTTATCTTACCACTTAGTTGGCTCATCTTTACACTTTACTGACACTGATCACGTGACACACACCATCATCAGACGGCTGAATACCCAACTCTTGCTGAGCCAGCAGCAATATCCTTCCACACTGCAATCACCTTTTCACAAAAGAGTTCACAACTCAATGGATGGCAAGTATGTACTATGTGGAGGAATGACAAAGATGTAGTATACGTAGACATAGTTGACAGACTCACTCACATCACTCTTTTACCTCAACTCAGATTCTCATTGTTTAAATTCTTAACATCTAATACGCAGTGGGACTTTGAGCGAAGGAAGATACTGGAGCGTTATAATCCAGTGGACAACGCCAAGATCTATCCATATTACTATCAAGATATATATCAACCTTCTGTTGCAATCACTGGTCCATCATCAACATCATCATTATCACCGAAACCTCAAGGTTCACCATTGACAGCGGCATCATCATCATCTACATCATTGACATTGGCACTTCCATCTTCATCATCTACATCAACAACATCATCACAGTCATTGGTCAAACCTCCAAACAGTTCATTCAAGCCAATTGTAAAGCTGTCAAAGGAGGCAGAGCTAATCAAGGATCGCATATTGCAATACGTGTCCACTACAAGTGTGCTGGTGCTCACCTACGAGTGCAAACAACGTAGTTCAGTATATGAGCTCAACCTAACTGTTAGCGACACATTGAACAGCTTCAAGTCACAACAGCAGCAGATCCAATTGATTCAGCAACAGAAGCAACTTCAAATGCAACAGCAACAGCAACAAATGCAACAACAGCAACAACAACAACAGCAGCAACAACAACAGCAGCAACAACAGCCAATGCAACAGCAGCAGCAGCAACAACAACAACCAATGCAACAGCAGCAACAACAACCTATGGGCGCACCACAAGTACCACAAGTACCTCAACCAACTCAACATAGTCCACAACAACAGATGAACCCTCAGCAACCATTGCCTCCACAGCCACAACAACCACAACCACAGCAACAACCACAACAACTTCAACAACCTCAACAACAACCAATGAACACTCAACAGATGATGCCAGCTCCTCAGCCACCACAACAAGCGACAACTACCACGACCAATCCACAACAGCCCCAACAACCTCAACAAGCCCAACCTCAACAACAGCAACAACAACCTCAAGCAACACCGATTCCTCAACAACAGGTTGCACCTGTTCAATCTAAGCCTCCCGCAGCCAAGATACCTCCACAACAGATGTTGAGCTTTGAAAGACAGCATGTGTTGGACACGTCAAACTTTGCTCCACTCTATCTCACATTCCAACTTGGCGATGCATATCAAGCATTCTTCTTCCTGTCTCACCTCAAGTCATCCTATGAGCGAGACAGCAACTTCATAATGTCCTACGACTCTGCCATGTCACCTCAGCAACAGATGGAGCAAAGGCGAAGGGTCGAGCAATTACATCATCTTGGCCTGTCGAATACACAACAGCAAMWGCAACAGCAGCAGCAACAG